TTTTCCAACTTTAATGACTCTATGATTCTAAAAATCCTGTCTCCTTTTCCCACCACTAATTAATTTTATATTAACACTTTTCTCCCAGCTAAGGACTGGGTCTGCTGAAAAAAATATGAAATGATGCTGGCACAGATCTTTTAACGAATTCAGGACTTTGACCAACTTATCTCTTGTGCAATAAAGGGAGCTGGTGGGAAAGCAAGAGGGGGAAGGACAGATACCTGCTAATGTATTTGTAAAAGGGAGGAGAAAAGTTTTTACTGGAGTAAACTTACAGCAAACAAAGAATAAGGAAGTAAAAAGCCAAAGATATCTGGGAAAGTCAAATCAAAGACATTTCAACCCACTCTGCTGCTCAGCAACATGGCAGTTCTCTACACACTGCTGGTGTTATTCTTAGCAGTGTTTGTTGCTGGATTTATGTTGTTGGTCATGGGAGCAATCAATTTTGATTTATCCAACTCAGAAATTCCTCCTGGACTGAATCAGCCTGTAAAGCTCCGAATCACCCACATCATTTTAAAAAGCACTGCTGTGGTGGTAAGTTAACCTGGAGGGATTTCTGGGGGAAGAGTTCCAGGTGACTCTGCTCTGGGGAGATGTTAAATGAAGGCAGTGCTAGAACCCTGCCTGGCGTTGGCTCCCAGAGTGGAGAGTGGGGCAGCTCTGCTGGCAGCTCAGTGTGCTAGAGAAGCTGCATCAAACCCTACACTCCCCTGCAGGATGACAGTGCTGCCCAGCTCCCACAGCAGCACCTGAACATCTGCCTGTGCTTCTGCACGGAATCCTGCCGACCCAGCTACGCCTTGGGTAGGAACCTTACCCATGGCAGAGCAGCTGTGTCCCCATGCCAGGGGTGGAACACTTCAGATGGCTTCGGGCCATGGCGTCAGGCTTACCTGGGGCTTGGCAATGAGGAGCTAGGTTATTTGTTTTGAAGATAAAATTAGAAATTGAACATTTGGGAATTGGTTTGGGGAAGAAGGAGGTTTTTTGTCATGCAAGTGACAAAATTAGGTACTGCTGTCCAAGAGGAGCTGAAGGAATTCCATCTCCCCTGAACACAGGTGAACTGGGCTGTGAAGGAGTGAGAGGCTAACTACTCCATGAGAGTTAAAGCTCTTAGCAGCACTCAGCTCCTGGTGATCTCTGTTGACAAAGGATCTCCTGAATCAGGAGTATTCCCATGGAACAACAGATGCTGTGATGATGGAAGGTGTTAGAAATCAGGAGATAGCAGAAGCTGTGCATATATTTAATGAATTACTTAAACACCTCCACGAGAGACAAACTATTTAAAATATTTTTTAAAAAATTATCTGTCAGAAATATTCTAGATTTTAGTGGGTCATAGTAAAGAATTCTAGATATATATTCTCATGCTTTGGATGCACCCAAGTTGTAATCAGAAGCAGATTACTTCACTTAAGCAGCTGGAAAAGCCAGTTCTCTTCATATCATCTCCATACCAGAAACTTGTATGCACGACTGCGTGCTGCAATGTAGACAACACCAGATGAAAGAAAACAAACAAGCTAAATGTAAAGCTGAGAATATTCTTTGTAGTTGCTCAATTTCTGCTTATAAAACAGCACAAAAGAATAAATAATTTTATCTCGTTTGTGTACCATCAGAGACACTAAGACTCATTTCTATAGCAAATTATCAGGCATGGAGACCATTACAAATAGCTGGAGGTACAGAAGCAAAGGTCCTCCACAGGTAAATACACTGAGGGCCCTCCAGAGAAATGTGGCAGTCTAATAACTATTCCTAAGAAAATATTAAGAGCTTGATCCAAATCTCCCCACAGACTGAAGCACTGGTTTGGCACGACTAAATAATGCATTTAGAAATGGAGCCTGTGCTTTGCTTTGTATCTTTGCAAAGTTATGTTGGACCAGTAGCTCTCATTGGTATTCTCTTCACCTGCTGGTGCCTGGCACAAGTATCTTTACAGCACACAGAAAGACGTTTAGGCTGACTGAGTACCTCAGGATCTTTTTGCCAATGCATTGCATACATTAGTGATGACTCCCGAGATGAATAAAAAAACAATTATCAAATATATTCTCATCTGAGTCAGCTCTACTTCTGGCAAGTGTCTCCTGTCATGAAAATCAGCACTAGAATGATCACTTTTCCTTGTGTTTTCACAGCTTGTCAGGGGCAAGGACAGAATAATCAGTGAAAACCAGACTTGTTTGCATTGCTAGGTAAAGGACTCGCTGAGAAAGTAAAGGGAAGCATTTCAGCAGCCTCTGTTCATGCTGCACTGGTTTGGGATCATGTGCTCTGGTGAACACTGTTGTTCATGGAGCCTCTCACGGTGCTACTCACCTTTGTTCAGTTGTACTGCACCTGTACAACTACTCAAATATTCTACAATTGCCCTAAAATACACAACCTGGATACCAGGAGTGGATGGCCTATACAGTTCCTTTACTTTGGAAAACACAGATTCTCTTGAGTGAACTCCCTACTCTCTTTGCTTTTCAACAGGGAAAGATTTTGGAAAACATTGGTATCTGCAGTCAGCTTGGCTTTGTCCGGTACATGCAAGGCAGAAAGACTCCAGGAGCAGACCCAAAGCTCTCCATCAAGGACCTGTGGTTTGAGAAAGTGCCTGTAAGGATTTATCAGCCCAAAGTTCCATCTGCCAGCCAAAGGAGAGGAGTTATGTTTTTCCATGGAGGAGGATGGGTATTTGGAAGTTTTGGTAAGATATCTAACAGAAAAAAATACAATAATTTAGTTAAAGAAGTATCTAACTCACACATGGTGACCTTTGCTGTTGCTTGATCTGTAGCAGTCATGAAGTTTGAGTATAAACAAATATGCACTCTCCTAAGAAAGTATCTGCTGTGCATTACATGATCTGTCTTAAGGACAATGAGATATGAGGGGAAAAAATACAGTAAGCAAATAATGAAATAGGAAGGTGAAGGGGTACGAAAGTTCTGAAGAGGGGGCAGAGAAAAGCAGAGAGTATTTTCTTCTTGTAGTTCTTTGACTTATGCAATAGATAATATTAGTACTTGAGAAAAACAAACCAAAACAACCCCAAATCCACCAAATATGTTTCTTTCAGAGACCCACGAAAAGCTGTGTCGCTCTATTGCCAGTGAAAGTGAGTCAGTGGTTGTGTCTGTCGGGTGAGTCCTTCCTCCTGCTGCTTGTTAAAGACACCTCCCAGAGTGCAGATGTCACCTTCTGGCTTCCCCGACCACAGCACCAACCATCCTCAGACAAATGATTCTGGGGGACTTGTCAAGCATGTGAATCAAGATTGTAAATCAATACATGATTTACAAATTCACTCTGCTCTTGTCTGGAGGCACTGGAGACTGGCCCAGGCTAAGTTTTCACTGCCTGACTACATCACAAATAATGCTTTGGGATATCTACCTGGAAAATGGTAGAATCACCTAAGGTATCTTAAAGATAAGGAAGGTATCTTAAAGATCTTCTAGTTCCAACCCCCCTGCCATGGGTAGGAGCACCTCCCACTAGACCAGGGTGCTCAAAATGAACTTCTGAACCAAGGTTTTCAAATTATGAACTCAAAATTAATAGTAAACAGATGGCAAGCCAAATATTCCATTTAATCAATTCAAGGAAACTCCACTTGATGCTCACAGAAGGACTGTGTGAATGACAAGCCAGTGTCATCATCAATATACTGCCATAGTCATTTGGGTTATCAGGATATAGTTGCACTGTAACAAATCCATAAAAAAGTAGTGTTCAATTTATCTCACCTGTGGCAAGCTAAAGCATAAAACAAGGAGATAACTGTCAATAAAACGTAGCCATAGCTGGCACCTGAGTATTCCTGTGTGACAGACCTGAGACCAGGGTGTTCCCTGAGCAATGACAGCCCAACGTGCTGATCTGCACCCTGTGGTCTAAAAAGCTGCAGCTGATTTAGGGTCAGCCTGTGGAGAACTGGAAAACTCTGAGACACTCAGGGTATTGCTGCCTTCAGGAATCACTGTTTTCAGCAATATATATATAACCAGTATTCCCTTCTCACACTTTTGTGTTCTCCTTGTGTCTCAGGTACCGTTTAGCTCCTGAACACAAATACCCTGCTGCATATGAAGACTGTCTGAGTGCCACCATCCACTTCATGAAGAATTTGGAGCACTACGGCGTGGATCCTGCCACTGTCGTTGTCTGTGGGGACAGTGCTGAGGGCCACCTGGCAGCTGCGGTATAGGGCAGGTCAGACCTCCCCAAACTACGTGCTCAGGTCTTGATCTACCCGGGCCTTCAGGCGCTGGACTTCAATTTGCCATCCTATCAGCAGAACCAGAGAGTCCCTCTCCTGTTCCGAGAACATGCTGCTTTCTACATCTTACAGTACCTCAATGGGAATGCATCAAATCTGGAACAGGTCTTGGAGGGCTCCCACATTCCTGTAGATATTAAATTAAATTATAGGAAGTGGGTGAGTCCAGATAACATCCCCGACAAATTTAAGGTCAGAGGCTATAAACCACATGTGCTACTTGACTGTACGACTGAAGTTTATGAGACAGTGAAAAGATTCTGCGAGCCCAACCTGTGCCCACTCTTAGCTGAAGATGCCATTGTCCATCAGCTGCCCGAGTCGTTCATCCTGACCTGTGAGTATGACGTGCTGAGGGATGATGGCTTGCTCTACCAGAAGAGGCTGGAGGGCAACGGACGTCGAGCGCACTCGTCTCTACAAGAAGAGGCTGGAGGACAACGGAGTTCAAGTGACCTGGTGCCACCTCGAGGATGGATTCCATGGGATCATAAATTTATCTGATAGTGACTGGTTGTCGTTCTCCTCTGGAAAAAAGGGTCTCCACAATATTGTGAACTTCCTAAAAAGCTTATAGAAACCATTTTCTTTCCTTCTGTAAAAACTGCCAATTTTCTGTGGTCTTTTATGCTTCTAAATTCCATATGAGATTTAGATAGGACAGTTTGTTAATGAGGAATTATGCCAGTGTGATCACCAAAAAAAAGATATTTCAAGAATGCTTTTAAAGTTTCTTTTAGTGCTGTTTGAAGTATTCCTTGTGCAGCCTGCCTATTTTAATGATTTTTTTTGGACTAGGCACTTGCTTCTTTCTCAGTAAATATTAAAGATGCAGTAAAATTTTAAATCAACATCTGGTCTGACCTGTTTTCTTCATTATGATCTATGGTTTCATTCTTCCTACAAGGCCAAGTGTGTTTTAGCAAAGGAGAAAGATGATAACACTACAATGCTCTAGTGCAGTGCCCCTGCTATGCACTGCATGTAGCAGCTGAGTCTAAGTTTTGCAGTCATTGACTTCCACAGAACTTCTGTGGGTGAGGTAACTGCTATTTCAGAACAAATGAAGTCAAAACTGCAGCTGTCCTCAACAGAGATACTCCACTAACAGCTTTCTCTAAATTACAATGGAGGAAATACTCCGAGTTTCTTCCTGTGTTTATCAAACACCCAAGTATACTGACAAACTGTGCTTAACTATTCCAACAACAAAAAAAGATTGATGCATTTGCTTTTGTAGAGCACACATTAGCTTTTTTTTTTTTTTAATTCATGTTAGTTCCTGTTTGTTGGCTTTTCTTTTTTTTTTTCTAAATATCCTTAAAATCATATATTCCAAACTGCTTAAAGAATGTCCACAATACAGGAAGCAACACAGTGTGGACACAGATCAGACCGGAGAGACAATTTAACCTCCACATTAGTTGGCTCTGCTTGCAAACAGCAACCCATCTAGTTTAATTCTAGTTTATACCAGAACTTCATTCAGACTCAAGTGCTATCTCTGAACAGTCATTCACATCACTCACAATCCAAGAATGCCAGGCCCTGCATCAATCCCACAATTAACACAGAGCTCAACAGGAAATTAAACACGTCCTCCTTCACCTCTTTTCCAATGAGATGCGTGCAGGCACCTTGCACAACATTTCCAAGGACTTTAAAGCATGTGGCAACCAGGAGATCTGCTGTAACTTGGACTGTTTTATCTGGGATCAGAGAGCTCTCTGAGAAAGTGAAATCAAAGACAGGTGTAAAAACACCTCACCTTTGGTTAAGTGACATGGCATTTTTTTATATACTGCCAGTGACAGTGCTGGTGATTTTTATTGCTTCATTCATATTAGCAATTATAGAAACAATTCAATCTGACTACTCAAATTTCATTATCCCTCCTGGAGTGAATCATCCTGGAAAGCTTCGAATTGTCATTACTTACCTGATTACTACATCTGCTATGGTGAGTTGCTCTGCCACGATTTCTGTAAGAAATGTGTTCTGGGTGCTGTTTCTGAAAGGCTGTATGTGTAAATACCATAACCCTACTGGCTGCATTTAGACTTTTCCTTTCTGGGGACTGGCTTTAGAGGACCTTTTTAGTAAAACAATTTCTGTTAGACCTCAGACAGTTTCATTAAGGTTTTCCCCATTAGATAGGGATGAAGCCAACCATGAGTCCAAGCCTTATAAGCTGAGCTTCCCTAATTAAGTTTAATTGTTTACAGAAAGTGACATAGTCTTGATTTCCATTTTACCCATGCAGAAATGATGGGTTTAGGCCATTCGTGGGGCACCAGTGGAAAGCTGGGTGCTTCTTAGGCAGACAAAACCAGAGACTCACAGAAACCTCAGAGCAATGACGTCTGGGTTGTATGGCTGTAGGTGGTAGGAGGCTGACATGAAACCGCTGGACTAGGCGAGATGGAAAGTCCTTTGTTTCTCCCCCAAGACATCTTGCCCGACAGCGGGTGAGTCGGACGCGGGGGCCTACCTGCTCAGGGGCAGGCTGCCGGAGCAGCCTCACAGGGCACCGCCACGGCTCCATCTTCTCCTGTGCCAGCCTTCTGGTGAGGACCAAACCGGAGCGGCCGCTCAGGGCGAGGGCGGAGGCGAGAGGCTCTGGAGCGGGCTGAGCGCCGCCAACACGAAGCCTGGGTGCCCCTCGGGCCTCCAGCAGCCGGGGCGAAGCAGGCGCAGCTCTCCCCTCGCGGCA